GTTTGTTTGAAAAAAAAAAAAAAGAGAATACCAAGTTATCGTGATTTCGCATGCTTGATAAACTTGTGGCAGGACTTGTGACAACTCACTTGGGTAAGTACTTTGAAAACGTCAATAAGGAACAGGTGAGGGTTTCACTCTGGAGTGGACATGTGCGATTGAGAAACTTAAGTTTCCGCAAAGATGCCCTCCGTGCTTGGGATACCGCCATTTGTGTGAAGGAAGGCTCTATTGAGGAGTTGACAGTTGTCATTCCCTGGACGCGGTTGCAGTCGGAATGTGTGGTGGTGGTGGTAAAGAAAGTTCGAGTGGTGCTTCAGCAAAAGACAGCGGCAGGATATGATCCTGAACGGGAGAAACAAGAGGCCTATGAACGTAAAGTGCATCAACTGAATATTTTTGAAGAACTTCTTAGTCGTGAAATGTATGAAAATGAAGGACATATCACGACTAGTAGAACAACTCATGAGGAAGTCCATACAGAAGAAATGGAAGGAGAAAACTATGTAGAAGCTCAGAAAGATGCAACATTCTCTGCTCGTTTAAAAGCAAATATACTTAATAATGTTCAATTAAAATTGGAAGATGTTATTATAAGATATGATGGATGTCATTCCTTTGGAAGAAATCTTGAAAAGGGTAAATATCCATCTGTAGGAATTGATTATCATTCTATTTCACTTGTTTTGAGTCATTTTCGTACGTATGCATGTAATGAAAATTTTGAACCCCACTTTACTGCGACAAGGGAACGTATACTCTATAAGAAGGTGGAATTAGAAGGGATGCGAGTTTTTCTAAATGATGAAGTTATCCCTGTGGAAGAAATGAATGCTTCCCAAGGTAATTATGATAACCTCAGTTCTAGTAACCATAATAATAATAATAATGAGAGTTTACAATTTAAAGAATTACCTTTTCTTAAAATTTCTGAGTTATCAAAGCAGTCTGTTTCTTCTTTACGAAAACCAATCCATACAAGTTGTCATTGTATGGTGTTTCCTTTTTCTGCAGTAGCACGTGTTCAATATCAACCGGTACCTTTCCGAGGAGAACTTCCCATGACTGGTATTGATGTAAACATGAACCATTTACGTGCTACCGTTAATCGTGAACAGTGGTTAGTATTACTTTCATTATGGCGTGAAATACGTAATGGTGAGGAATATGATGTATTACGACAATTTCGTCCATCTGGTAATGAGAAATTAAGACCTACTGATAATCCACGCTCTTGGTGGCAATATGCTATTCAAGTCACATTATATCGTATTCGTAAAAGTCGAGAACGTCGTGTATTTGTATGGGAAACGTATAAATGGCTTAAAGCAGCAAGAGAAGAATATATGATGTTATTTCGACGTAGTAGACGTGGAAAGTTAGGTGCAAATTGGCTTACTGCCTTAACAGAGAAAGAGACTATGCGATTACGTGAACTAGAGATGGATCTACCTATAGATTCTATTAAGTTTGCACGACGTCTTGCCTATCAACGGACACAATTGGAACGAAAGAACCGTGATGCTGTCTTGGAGAAACGGCGTTTACAACAACAACAACAACAACAGCAAGAAGAAGAAAAAGAAGGAGAGGAAAAAAGGGAAAAGATGTTGGAAAGAATCTCTACTTCTTCCCTCATTACGGAAAGTAATGGATCTTTAGTAAGAAAGGAATCATCTGGATGGTGGAGTTGGATGACATCTTCATGGACTCGTCGCCCACAAGGGGAAAACTCTACTAGAGATGATGAGGACAGTCCTGATATCTCTGCAGAGATTGAAGAAATGTTGCAACTTGTACATGCAGAACGGTGGACAGCCGCACAACGTTTGGCGATTGCAAAGGAATTTGGTATTTCAGAACGCGAAATGGAAGATCTTTCAGATACAGGCGGGATCTCAACAAGAGCCCCTGATGGATTACAGTGGCAGTTACGATTTCATGCCAGTGCTCTGCAGTTAACACTGTGTGAAAGTATGGAGTCCTGTATACCATTCGGTACATTAGCCATGGAACAACTCTCTGTTGCTTTTGTGTACACTACGAATCGATGTTTCGATCTCACTCTTAACGCAGAGGATTATCTTGTCCTCTCACACCTTGCAGAACAACAACAACAAGAAGAAGAAGAAAAAGAAAAGGAAAAAGAAGAAAGGCAACAATGCGCATTGAGTGTTATTCGGGTTGCGAGAGAACGATTTGATGATAAAACGGAGCCGGCAGTTTCTGTTGTCTGGCGGCGTCTCCGACCGTGTGGTTGGACCGATAGTGATTCACACGCCGTCCCGTATGAATTGCGATTGAAGTGGAATCCACTGGATTGTATTATAAATGTGCCGTTTCTAAAGGCCTGCGTAGACTTTATCTATACACCAACAACAACAACAACAACAACAACAACAACAATGAGAAGAGAAGGAAGAGTACAAACCTCATCATCATCATCTTCTTCTTCAATGAGGGCGTTAGTTCCCACAGGTGAGAGACGACGTACATTGTTAATGTTAATAGTGGAGCGGGAGATATTATGTGATTGGAGTATTTGTGTATACGGTCTCCGTTTAGTAGCAGCAGAGGATGTACGGCAAGCCACACGTATTGCATTGCGCTCTTTGGAAGTACGTAATGATCCAAAAAAGAAACTAGAGAAACGACGACGTATTCAAGAGTTTAGTAAGATTATATCAAACCCATCTAATGTGTTTGGGGATGATAAAGAAGATTGGGTAAATAATGTACATGCCACTGTTAAAGGAGCCACCGTCGAGTGTTATTTGATCTCTCAAACAGATGAGAATAACTCAAATATTGTTTCTTCCACTAATGTTGCTATTGGTAGTGTTGATTGTGATAATGGGAATGATATAAATACGCATATACAGAGGGAATGTATTGCTACTCTACCTTATTTATCCATGCAGTTTCAGAAAAGTCTCATGATGAATCGTAGTCCAGATATTCCATTACTCTCAACATCTCTTAAAATGAGAGAACCACTCCAATTTCATTGTTCACGTTGGAGTCTTTCTGTATTGTGTACTTCTTTCTCATTAATCTCTGACTTTTGTCAAACCATGTTACAACGTTCTGCAATGAGTGTAGAAGCAAGAAGAAAAACAATGAAAAATTGTTTAACGACATCTTCTACTTCTTCTGAGAACCTTATTTTTTATGCTCAACTTTCTGCAGTGGATAAAAGATATTTTTCTGAGCATGAAACCTCTGCAAAATTGGCATATGAACAACATTGCCGCCATGAAGCTAATTGTTTAGATGACTCCAACGCCTTTTATCGTATGGAAGTATCGAATGGGAAATTAATCATTTTTCACGCCGCTCGTTCTTCATTTCCCAGTCATTTAATAGAACTACATCGAGGACATCTACACATTGTAAGAGATGGGGCAGAAGTAAGTCTTTTTGTAGAGTCTGGTGGTCTACCGCATGAATATCGTAAAGGTTTATGGGAAGCTAGGAAAGTTCTCTTTGACAAACACAAATTTCCAATATTGGAAAGTATGATATTGCTGGAATCTCTTATTCTTCAATGGTGTCAAGATCAAAAAGATCATATAAAAGAAATAGAAGAAGTGAAAAAAGCATTTCACATTCTACAATCTGCCTCTCACACACAACCATGTCATTATATTTCTTTAAAATGTATGAACTCGGAAGAGGCACAATACTTTGCTGAAGCGCTTGAGACTCATGCAATAGAGGATCATGTCTTTGCAATTCCAGCTGATCCAACTAAAGAAGAAGAGGAAAGAGAAGAAGAAAAAGAAGAAGAACCATGTCAATTTGTACTTGATATAACTATACCAAAGTGTACATTATTTCTTCATGAAGAAAATATAAGGAATTCTGCTGGCAGTAATGATGGAGATGGGATAATGACAGTTTATGAAGTTAACATTGCGGGAACTAAACTCTCTTACGAACAGCAAAAGAATGAAAAGATAGTAAACCTCAACGCATCTGGTATTTCAGTATTAACACAGGGTAATACCGTAAGCGTATTGGATTTAGTTGAATCCTCTGAAAGTTATTCAGTATTGAATGCTTCTCTTCAATTAATAAATCGTCCATATCCTCATCCGGCTCGTAAATATATAAATATTAGGATATCCAATACAGTTAAACTTTCCTTTTCAAGTGAATTTCTTGCTGTAATGGAATTCCTTTGGGATCTTACCGGAATATTAACAAATCAAGTATTTAATCATACTGTATATTGTTCAGTACCGTGGAGTATGGAACCTGCGGTATTGGTGGAAGAAAAATGGCGACATGATCGAAGAGGAGGACTTCTTCAACGACATCTTATGTCTATTTCTTTAGATCATTTGATTTTATCTCTTTATTACCCATCAGATAAGTTTGAGTTGGCAATAGAAGAAAAAAAAGAAGAAAATGAGAAAGTACTATTAAATGATAAAAATACTTCTAAAGATTTTGTGAATGCGGTGAAAAATGGAGATGAACCTATGGCAGTGATGGAGGGATCAAATATTCATATTTCTTGGAACAATACAGAAGGCTGTAACGCTACGCAATTTACAGTTCATTACCCTCAAATGACGATGAAACATCTCATTTCTGGTGAATCTCTAAAAGTAGTCCATTCGAACTCTAGAAATGCTGAAGAAACCGTAGAAGAAAATAATAACAATAATAATAATAATAATAATAATAACACCTCATGTCCGAATATCTCTCTTTCTTTTACAATTCAACGTGAATTACCGATTTTGTCAAATTCTGATTTTATTGCGAATGGAGGACCTTATGGATATCGCTATACACACTTTCTTGCCCTTTCTGGTTCGCACTTTAATGCGCTTTATTGGAATTCACAATTGTGGGATCTTATGGAGATATGCTCACGTGGTGTTATCTCCCGTGCGGCAGCCATTGGATGGAGAAAACCATACTTGGCTGGTAGTAAAGTCCAACGTTGGCCTTATCCTGTTGATAGTATACATATTCCACTGCCCTTTACATGGTGTTTACTACACAAGGATGTTCAACTCTCAGATATTCACCTCACACTTCCTCACAAGGATGCGCATTTACCATCGGTGTTGTGGGGGAAAGTTAAACAATTGAGTTTTTATGATATACTGCATAAATACGGGGAACAACAACAACAACAGCAGCAACAGCAACAGCAACAACCAGAAGGATCTAATTTAGAATTCATTATTAAACAAACCTCAAGAATGGAAATAAAAGAATTTGAACTTTTAGGTATTCGGGAACAAAAGAAATCTCCAACATCTTCTACTTCTTTAATGAAGATGATAAAACTTTTAAATGGGGAAAATATTATTCTGGATTTTTCCTATGAACTCTTTCGTGTTGGTGGATGGAAACATGTACGCCCTCGAGTTTTTAGTATAAAAATCTCTGATTCTACGGTATTTCATGGAACTACAAATCAATTTGCCCTTTTAATAGATTGGTTGTATGGAAATTATATGAAAACTCCATGGAAAGGTCATTTTGCCCCTAAAAAGATTCCTCTCGATCCTTTTATGTTTCCAAAATATAATCAAATTATGGAATCTACTTCTTGGATAGTGGAGGTTGATTATATATGTATTCGCCTACATGATAGACCCAAGTCTTATCATTGTGTAGAAAAAGAATCATCCTTTTTAAATTATATTCGTATGGGTATTGATCTTAGTATCGTTGTGGAAGATCTTTCTATGGAATTTAACTGGGATCCAAGTGGGAGTTTCTTTTCTCGATATGATATTGGTGAAATCTCTATATGGGAACTGGATTCAAACGCAAAAAAACGTTTGACGTTCTGTCGTCACCCTAGTGAAGCTGTACATGAATCTTTTCGATTTCTATGGATTCATCATAAAGAGATTTCAAATTCTTTCACACATGAAAACGAGGAAGGAAACATAAACAACAACAATAATAATAATAATAGTGATAATAATAATAATATGGATAACAACAATAAGAACAATAGGGCAAAGAGACCAGTGGCACTAAAAGCCGTTTATAGTGTGAAATGTGAAGGAGGAGAGAAAAAAGTCTCTAGTAGTATAACGATTAATATTTTAGATATAACTCCTGTTCCTTCCTTTTTATATAATTTAAAGGATTCTCTCTTTAGTCTGCGTGTGCGAAATGCATTTGGTAATATTCTTCGCTGGGAATCTCGTGTCGCTGGTGTATGGATGGATCCACCAATAACTCTAGAAAGTCAGGAGTGGTGTACAAACCATCAAGTTTTCCTTGAATTACTAAATATCACAATATCAAAAGTTTCTCATCATCATCATCATCATCGTCAACATTTAATACCATTGTTTTTCACTTCCATTGTGAATATACAGTTTAGAAATACATCAGAAAAATATGGTTTAAATCATGAATGGTCTTTTTCTATGGATAAAATTGATAAGAATGGAATTGTTATGACTCCAGACTTCTCAGAAGGTGGGATAAAGTTAAGACCTGTCATTTTATCAAATTACTGGCAACAACAACAAGAAGAAGAAGAAGAAATATATAAAGAGAATAAAAAATTATTTCAGATTACAAAAACAACATCTGGTGGATTTGTTGGAAATCTTGATTCAATTTGGATTTTACTTCCACCCAAGAAAGAAATATATGCTTTATCTGAAGTGTTTGTAAAAGATGGATATGCACAACTTTCTTGGTTAGGAACATTTTTAGAAGAACGAAGAGCATGGCGAATGGGTACCCTTTGTAGTAAAAAAAGAAATAACGAAAATAAAAATGAAGAAGAAGTTCCTCATACCTTCTCTGTGAATTTCACTATAAAAGAACCTTCTGTAGTGGTAGTAGGAATGGGAACAGAAGAAGATTCTATTGTGAATGGTTATTTAAATCTTGAAAATGGTGTTATCTACAGTTTAGGGGATATTACAGTAAATAGAAGAGGTGAAACAGCTAAAGATGATTTTCATATTTCCCTTAATGGTGTAAGTGTGCGGTCTTTACAAGATGATTCCCAATATGTAATGAACCCTATTGAAGTTACTCTATCTATTTATACTCTTTTAAATGGAGGATGGGAAGTGAAAGTACGATTTGGAAGGATTGCTATTAATGTTACTCAGTCTATTTATGAATTAATTCTACATAGTCTGGGTCGACACTTTGTCTCTATGGAAACAGAAATTCCAGAATCTTTTACAGGCGAAATGGAGAAATTTACATCTTCACATCATGCCATTCTTCCTTTAGGGGATCCAGGAGAAGTAGAAGAGAATACACTTCTTGTTCTTCATCATGAAGGGAAAAAATCCACTGAAAAAGAAAATGAAAGAGAAGAAAGAGAAGAAAAAGAAGAAGAAGGAAGTAGTGGTAGTGGTGGATTAAAAGTATGGATAGAATGGGAATCTTTTACATTACGTGTATTAAGAGAAACGGTTGCTTTTTTTATTGCGACCGGTCAAATGTCTGCATTTTATGATATTTTAACCCCCCAACAAGAGCAAAGAGATGATGAGATGATAAGAAGGAAAATACATATAAGTTTAACCTTTATTCGATTAGGTGTAGAGAATGGAATACATCTTGTGGATCTCCAACCACTCTCCTCTTCCTCTTCCACTACAAATACGGAAGAAGAAAAAGAAAAAGAAAAAGAAAAAAACACTTTTTCCTCTACATTGAAAGAACCATGTCTTTTCTTTTATTTAGATGCCTGTGATAAGGAGGAAGTAATTCATGTGAATATTGGGAAATGTGTGGTGTTTTTGGAAAATGAAACCATGATCTTATTACTATCGACATTGTATGAACCTTATCGTCGTATTGTATTACCAGAGTATAGAGTTCATGAAATAAAATATATTGATAGTGATGTGAAATTACAGGAACGACTTGTTTTATCAAAATATAGAAAGTTGAAAGTAGTTCGAGGTGAATATAATCATATTACTATAGATGGTAATAATTGTGAAATTCACTTTATTGATGCTGGTTCACCTATTCTTTCACTTGGAGAAGGATTAACATTACGTATTATTAATGCTCATATCTATTTATATGGTAAAGCTATTGAATATTATATGGTTACTGGAAATGGATCTTATGTTGTGGCAGACCCTAAATATAATACTATTATTCACGATATAAATCCTCCATTAACTGATTTTAATAGTATTAGTAGTGAACCTCAACTAAGTACTCAAGAATCTGAAAGTTGTGGAAATTATTATTATTATTATCATTATCATTATCATTCTCTTCAAAATACACAATCGCCTGCTGCTCTTGTTGGTAGTAATAGTAGTATTTCTGGAGGAAATAGTGATCATCCTATTCCATTACCACTTGAGTTACCTATATCTCGTACTACTACCAATGATGTCTCTCGTCGTATATTAGGAAAAGCTATTTTACAATTAACACTTCCTGAAGTAAAAGATAAATCTGAAATACAGCGTTCTCAAAGTTCTTTACATCTCACTCAACCTTCACGTTCTTTAGTATTACAAGCTACTATGTCTGGATGTGTAGAAATGAATAGAAGTGGAGGTTGTATAGATGAAACAAGTACATTTGATCTCAGTGAATTCTCTATACGTTGTGAATATTTAGATATGAATGGTATAGTAGTAGATACAACTTCCTTAGTATCGGAATGGACTGTATCTGTACATATGAAAAAGGTACAGGACCAATTACGAAGTCCATTACAACGATGTATTGAAATATCATGTTTACGAGGAGTTGAAATTCGTCTTCGTTGTGGAGATATTTCTTTCTGTTGGTGTGCGGTATTACAAGCAAGAGAGGCATTAGGTCATATTGAGAGTAATGTATTAGATGATTTCTCATCTGCAAGAGAGTTTTCACCATCTCTCTCTACACCTTATCATATGGAATTAGGTGAAAAGAATATATTATCGGAAGAGGGAGAAACCATGATGGTATTTCATTTACGATATCTTAGTATAGATATAGTGGATGATAGTACTAATGTAGATATTCCTCTTTTTCGTTGTCGTATTGAAAATATTTCTACACCAAAAGCTATTAAAAAAGGAATGGCTCTTAAATTACATATTTCATGTGATTGGAGTATTATATATTATAATTTTACATCTTCCTCTTGGTGTCCTTTACTGGAACCTGTTTCTCTGGATATTGTACTTAGACGAGAGTCTAATATTTCTTTAGAAGATGTTAAACAACGTAAAGGTTTTTTACGAGCGGGTTTACATTTACGTGCGGTACGTTTACATTTTTCAACTATTGTTGCTGAAAATTTACGTCGTTTATGGCTTTTAAAGAAACACCTTGAAGAGGCTTTACATAGACGAGAAGAGGTAAATGGAAATATGGGTAGTATTATTATGAGAAGTAGTAGTAGTAGTATTACTTTAAATAATAATAATAATAATAATAATAATAATAATAATAATAATAATAATAATACTATTGGGAGTAAATCACAAGGTATTTCAAAATTAGAGTTTTATACATATAAAGTGGCTCAGCATGTGGGTCAAGATTTATATATTCATTTCGCCCAAGATAATCAAAATCGTTTTCCTCCGCCTTCTATTCTTCATGCTGATGGCCGTGATATCTTGGAGTTTAATTTTCCCCGTATTGAAGGACATGAATTACCGGCATCTCAACATTGTTTTGTTCTTTCCTTTCGAGAGAATAAAGAGTTTGTGCATGTTGCCACTACAGGGAGAAGACTTGTGCGAGTTGGTCCTGGTTTAATGAGTCGGCATGTACTCGTGGATGTTAAAGTTTCTCGTGGGCAAAAATTAGTAGAGTTTCGTACAAATATTGGATTTGAAAATGAATTGCCTTTTCCAATGGAGATTGGGGGAGTTGGGATTATTCAATCTGGAGAGAAATTACATATTCCTATTAACGCTTTACGTGAACGTACTTCCTTTACACCATTAACAGGAAATAATAATAGAAATATGGCCTGTTCATTAGGAGTAAGTTATGATATGCTTTCGTTATTATATGATCAGATATTTTTATGTATGAGTAAAGCCGATCTAAATATGAATGAAGTGGTAGAATTAGGAAAATCCGCTTGTGCCTCTGCTTCTCTACAGAAAAGTGTATTTTTTCTTTTACGATTTGGACCAAAGATATCTATTGGCAATTCTAATGTATTAGATTGTAAAGGTACCTTTGAGGCTCCATTTTTTATTATTAATGGGACTTCACTTCCTATAAAGGTTGGATTAATGTACCGTAAAGTTGGATCTCATCAACATCGTCATCGTCCTTTTCTTGAGTTTTCCGATTCTAATTACTTTGAACATATCACAACATTAGATATCGCTGCAGATGAACGGTGTGGGATTACTCAAGTTAATCCATTAAAAGATATTTACATGGATGTGTTTATTGCTCAAGCGAATGGAGAAGCATTAGGTCGTGTATTTGGTGGATGGAGAAAACGTCAAATGCCAATACTTGTTCATTCTTCTAAAAAACGAGATCGTGAACATACAATGACATTATATGATTCTAAAGGTTCATCTATTATTTTACATATTGATTATACAGCCAGAGCTATTACGATATGGTGTCCATATTGGATTGTTAATCAAACTCCACATGCTCTTCAATTTTCAGATGTTAAAAAAGGTCATCCATTAGCAGGATTACGTAATGATGAAGGAATTCCATCTGGATCCTGTACTTCTTATATTGTAAATAGTGAACGAATGGAAAAATTAGGTGATAAGGCTGTTCTTTATTTACGTATTGGAAGACAATCTTCTAAAGGTATATTAAAATGGACTATGTGGTCTGATCGTATTATGATGGCTGAACTTAATGAGTCTGGTATTGTGAGTTGTGCTTTATCGAAAAAAGTATGTGTTTCTCTTACATATACAGTTGGATTTCTTGGTGGTCGTACCAATGCCACTCGAGTCATTACATTTAATCCTCGTTGGATTATTGAAAATCATATGGATGATTCTATTGCATTTCGTCAATGTTTAGTGAAATTAGATGATGAAAATGTTCCTGCAGTATCTTCTATTCTCTTAACATGTGATCAACATCAAATTATTGATCTTAGTAGTGAAGGGGAGGTGGCGAATGCAATTCAAGTACGTTTACCTGAAAATGAAAGTAAAGGTATTCAACCTTCTCAATGGTCAAAACCTTTAAATATTGATAAATTGGGAGATAAAACTTTTAATGTAATTTATGAAACGTATATAAAAGTACAAGATTCAAAACATGTGCAAATGGATGGAGAAACATTAGTTTCTTTAAATAATAATACTTTTATTAAACGTTCAGTTTCAGATGTATTAATGCTTTCCTGTTATCGTAAGAGTAGTATTATGCATGTTGTCTTATCAAAACCCCAACGACCTCCTCATGTGATTGAGAATAGAACTCGATATATTGTTTATGTAAGACAACGAGATGAACTCCAACGATTAATTGTTTATCCTCGTACCACGAGAGGATTTGCCTGGGAAGATTTTAAATCACTTCCGGTAATGGAAGTATGGGCTGCAGAAGGTCCAAATGCCCGTTCACGATCTATTCTTATTAACTTTGATCCTCAAGCAGTTGTGAAGCGAAGTGAACAATTACAGCAGGAATTACATCTTCCAAGTGGGGAGATTCTTTTTGTACGTGTACGGGAATTAGGACGAATGAGTTATGCAATTAGTATTACAACAGAGAATACAATAGATACCTTTTGTTCACTTCCTTATTTTCAATATTTTTTAAAACTGGAAGTGGATGGGATTCATACATTATTTTCTGATGAACATGAGGATTTTATATTACTGACCGTAAAGCCCGTTACTGTGTTTTTCTCTCAAGGAGCAGAGACGGATGGGAATGGAGATGAACAGACATTTGAGTTTTCTCTTCGTGTGATTCAAATAGATGATGAACGGAAATGTGCAAAACAAACCGTAGTTGCTCAGCTTGTGGATGCGAAACCATCAATTATACGGTTTAAACGAAAACTCTCTCGTGTAGCTCCTATTTTGTTTATTAAAGATTTTATTATAAATGTGAGTTCAGTGGAAATACATCTGGAAGACTCTTTTCTCTTTCAAGTCATGAAATATTATGAAGAAATGCGTGTGGCTCTTGGTGGTGGTGGTAGTAGTAGTGGTAGTGGTTGTGGGAAAACAAGAAGGATGAATGAAGAAAAATTAAGTTATTTTCCATGGATGAATAATAATAATAATAATAATAATAATAATAATAATAATAATATTACTATTGTACCCATGAGAAAAAAAGAAACTTCTAAAGATGCTTGGAAACAACATATTATATTTATTGATCATGTTCTTTTAGAACAAGTGATGATATCCATCTCATTATATCGCTCTCCTGGAGCTCAAAATGATCCCATGTGGGAAAGTATTGGTTATTTAAGTTTTTTAATTCGTTCTGTTCGTGATGCTCGTTTTGTTTGGCGGCGTATTGAACAAAGAGGTGTATATGAAACTTTATGGCTTCTTAGTCTTTCTTATTATTCCTATTATAAACATCAATTGATGCAGCAGGTATCTAATGTGGTCCATGTAGCTGGATTAGATATGATGCGTGGATTTGTAACGGATTTACTACAGGGTTATTTCTCTTCTGATGGATTTACACATATTGATCGAACGAAACAACGTGTGGGTCGTCGATTAGAGGCAAACTTTGCAAAAGATGAAAGAAATTCTTTAATAAGTACAATCACAACAGATTCAGAAATGGGGTTTGATGAAAACTATAGAAACACTGCAGATGAGGAATTTATCTTAACAACACGGTTTCCTATTCCTATTCCTACTCCTATTCCTATTCCTGATACTGGTACTGGTGTGGATAGTACAAGTCTTGTAGAAGTGCAGCAGAGAGAGAGATTATTATCATCAACATCATTATCATCATCGTTATTAACTCCAGCTAAGATGGTTTTTACGGAGAATGTGGAATGGAATATAGCGCATAATAATATACCGATGGGAAAAGATAAGAGGGCTATTGAGGCGGCATTACTTTTACCTTGGAGTGCATTTTATGCTCGTGTGAGTAATCATGAACTTCGAGTGTATGGTATCTACGCTGTTGAACGCTTTTTACGTACTCTTGACTTTTCTAATCCATCCAGAATGCAATGGCAGTTTGAAGATCTAGCAACTGGTGTTGCTGCTGCCTATGCTTCTCCTTCTGAAAATAATAATAATAATAATAATAATAATAATAATAATAATAATACGAGTGTGAGTAATAATTCCATCTCTACAGCCTGGGAATCCCATTGGCAATGTACTCGCTGTGCGGAAATCAATCAACTGCGGGCCGAACGGTTTGACTCGGACAGTCTCAGTGCATTGCCGCACCCGTCGAGTGGGTTGATTACTTGGGCGGAGTTCACACATCACATCTCGTGGAGTGAACTTGTGCAGATGTGCACAGCGGCGGAGGTGCGGGAGTACGGCGGAGTGGTGCTGCGCGCCTTAGCGGGGGAGCCGCGGAATGTGATTCGTGTGGAAGGCACCGCGCGGTGGATTCTTGGTGAGGAAAAGGAATAATAAATAATGCTGTGAAGTGAAGTGAAGTGAAGTGATATTCTTTTTTTTTTTTATTTTTTTTCTTTCTTCTTTACTCTTTTCCTTCTTTGTTTACATATGATCTTTGCAGTGCTGTATCCTTCTTGTTTTTTTTTTTCTTTTTTCTTTTTTTTTTGTGATATTTTACTTTACTTTACTTCTCTACTGTAGTGTAGATTAAAGAGAAAGAAAGAGAGAGAAAGAAACGAAATCCACAGACACCTAACGCAAACAACATCCATTACACCATCACGTGTAGAGTTGATATTCTCTCTATTTCTCTTTATTTATTTTCTCTTTCTCTTTCTCTTTCTGTGTCTTTGAGTACATAGAGAGAGAGAGAGAGAGAAAAAAAAGTATTTCCAGTAATGCCTCCACTATCACAATCACAACATAAGCCGCGAACACCGTGGGGTCAATCCTCAACTGTCATCTCAACAAATCGACAGAGAGAACGGCCGCAGACAACCGCCACGGTGTTATCATCCAGAACGCCTAATGTGCAGCCACGTGATGGGCGAGGTGTAAAGTCTATTCCTCAACAGAAAGAATCTCTTCAGACAAAAACAAAAAAGAAAACAGAGTATGAAGAGAAGTATGAAGAAGCCTTAGCCCAATTGGCACTATTACAGCAAAAATTAGAACAACAAACACTCGTTTCCATGCAATTAGAACGTAATGTGTTGGAGTATTATTATACAAATGCCATCTCTTTTGAAGACTATGATGGTGAACGTGTCCCGCAGCAAAACAGTCTTTCTCATCATTATTACTTTACGAGTTTAATTTCAAAGGCCAGACGTGAACGACGAGAACGACGGGCTCGTGAGGAAAAAATCCTTCAAGAAGAAAAACGTCGAGTGCAGAGTCTTGTGGAGGATATTCAAACCCGTATTCTTCACGGTACTCTCGCAGAGGAGCGAATACAGGTTGAAGAGGCGGAGAAGGAATTAAAAACACTCCAACAACATCTTGCAGAGAAATTGGATGATGGAAAAGCCTGTCAGGTCTCTTTATTGGAGGAACTGAATAGACAGAAAGAGTTACAGCAGGAATATATAGATTGTGAGAAAAAAATACAAAAAATGGAAGAAGTAAAAGAACAACAAATGATGAATGTAGATGCAACGCGGGTGCAGTTAGAGAAACAACGGGAAGAGTTGGTAGTGGCGCAGGCGGAACTGCGGAAGAGAGAAGATGTAGTCGCAGAGTTGAGAGAGACGATTGTGCGACTCACACGTAAACGTAAACAACGTGAATGAAGAAGTTAATATGAAGATGGATAATAATAATATTCTTATTGTTATTATTATGAGTGTGAAGTGGTATATGTTTGAAATCTTTGTTTTTTGTTTTTTTTTCTCTCTCTCTCTTCTTTCACTCACAGAGTTTCTTTATATGTGTATTGCAGCTCTACCAGTTATTATTATTTAGATGCACAAGAGGTACCACATCCCGTATCTCTCTTTTTTTTTTCATATTGTTTAAGTGTATGTGCGTAAAATGTGTCTCTTTCCTTATTGACTTATTAATTATATTCTATTGCTTTCTAGTTAACGAACATTTGTACTCATTGAGGCTTTGTTTTTGTTTTCTTTTTGGTTCTTTTGTATATATTTTTTATGTTTACATTAATATATCTCTTGTATTGATAGAGTACTCTTTTGCCTCCTTTTTTTCTTTTCTTTTTTCTTGGGACTCTATCTATATATCTATCTATTTGTCTGTGTCTGCGTGAAAAAGAAGAAGAAGGGGGAAAATAATCTTAAGGGAAAAAGAAAAGGGGGAAAAGGAACAAACAAACAGACAAACAAAAACAGAGAAGAAACAATCCATACAGAACGACAAGGAAAGAAAAAAGAAAGAAAAAAACGGAAAAAGTAGCAATTATTTTTTTTTGTTTTTTCTGTTACTTGAGAGTGTGTTTTGTTAGCCTCAACACTAATTCCTTTACGTTGTCACTCTACAGTGTTATCATTTCATACATACACACATACCCATCTACACACGTGTTTTTGTGATTTACATAGGGAGTGGAAAACAACGCCAAAAAGAAAAGAAAAGAAAAGAAAAAAAAAAAAGAAAGGATAAGAAGATAAACGAAAAGAACGATAGAAAGAAAGAAATTCTTACTTTATCACATTTAATAAATGAGCGCAGATAGCATCCTTCTCCAACAAATCAGCAATGCCTGTCGAGATGGCCGTATTTGTGCGGCAGTGGCTTCTGAGATCAAAACATACTTTTCTACACCATTTAAACAAAGCCATGTGAATCCAACGTCTGGTATTGCCGTTGCGGGATTTGGAACTACTACTACTACTACTAATACTAATACTAATACTACTATTGGTGGAAATCCTTTGCCCACGACTGGACCTTCTCTTGCAGGAACAACAATGGGATTTGGTGGATTCTCTTCATCCTCCTTTACTCAACAACAACAACAGCAACAGCAGCAGCAGCAGCCACTTTCCATGTTGAGTGCTGTAGGAGAGAGTTCAGTTACTCAAGTTGGGGCACTGGATACACCAAACGAACATGTATCGAAGGCTAAATTAATGCTTTCACTTCTCACACTTTGCGGAGAACCTGAACGGTTAAATGGTGTGAATGATGCGATTGGGGCTGTTGCCTCTACTGCTGCGGCTGGTATTGTGCAGTTTATTAAAACAGAGATGTCCTCCAGTGCACAATCGTTATTAGGCCATACACAGGCTGCTGCCTTATTTACTGCACATGGAAAATCTAATCCTATTCTTCTTGCCGCACAGTGTCTTCTTCTACTCACCCGTTACTTTCAAATGCAGCGATCGTTGATACAAGATTTATGTGGATTGGTGGAACTTCTTTTAGAGGAAGTTCGTCGACACACACACAGTGGTGTTGTGAACTCACATTCATTTCGTCAACATCCCTCCACCGCTGGTATCTGTGCTGTTACTTGGCTAGTGACAGTCTCTATTACCAATACATTGGCCGTATGGCGAAAACTTCGTGATGTCTCTGGTGAAGTAAAGGCAAATGTGTTACTTCACTCTAATGTGGCTACTGAAGTGGAGGAATGGCTTTTGAAGTTGCGATCGAAGTTTGAACGTCTGCAGACAACGGGTTCATTTGCCTTCTCTGGTACTGGACATCGTGTAGGGGAATATCAACCACCACCACTACCACCAACATCATCATCATCATCATCATCACAACCGTATGATCCGGGATTTCATACATATAATGGACAACATAGTCGCTCATTGTCTATTGTAGAAGGTTATATAAGTATGATTGTATTATCTGTGGGTATATTTTTATCTGGAAAAGATTGTGAACGTGGTATGGAAAAGGTAGTGGAAGCCTTTATTGGTGATCGTTGTCAATCACCTAATACATTATACCGTGGAAAGGCAATGAAGTATTTTGTGCAATTAGCCCCAGCACAGGCTACATTGGTTATTCCCGTAGAATCTATTTACATTATTCCATATGAAATGGCAGCTTATATGTTTGATGAGATGCTTCCTGCTATTAAACATGTAGCTGATATTGATGTTCGCTCATGTGTACGATATTTAGAGGCCTTACAAGCAAGTACAGATGTTTTACAAAATGATAGGAATGGTGTTACGGGAACGACTACATCTCTCTCAACAGGAGGAGGAGGAGGAGGAGGAGGAGATCTTCAACAACATGGAGTTGGAATGGTTGCATATGAATTAGAACAACCCTTTATATCAGAGACGGCACATATTTTACAAGCTCTTGCGATATGTCTTGAAAATCTTCCTTCTTCTGTACTTAATCCTGATATAGAATCGGATTGTGCGGTAACGTTTTTTATATTTAAAAATTGTGTAACCCACATGCGATCTGTATTTCAAACCCAACGACCAAATACATTATGGGAACCATATACGTTAAAACTGGTCACGCATTTTTTAAATGTATTAGCCATGATTGGAAGAAATCCACAATATACAGAACGAGTGGTGGTGTTATTTAGTGAAATGCAGGTGGATTGTACGGAATTGCAGTGGTCTTCTCTTATTGGACAAGCACAGGAGTGTGCGGGAGTGAATGGAAGTGCATCTTCCCTGTTAACATTGGATGTTGGGGGCACAGGCGTCGGTGGTTCACTCGCGGCATTGCGAAAACAACAGGGAACTTCAACAACAACAACTGCAACCTCTACAGCTGCGGCTGCTGCTCATATGAATACTATTCATACTAACACTACAACGACGTCAACAGGATCAAGACATCGTCAATTTACAACGGAGTATTTACTAGAAAAACAACAAGCATATGTTTCTAGTGTATTTATATTATTACGTCAAATGACAACACATCCACTTATTCGAGAACAGATTCGACAATATATTACACTTGGTACAGCTTTAGAGTTTCTCTATGCACCTCGACTGTCGCAGCCTGTATTGGGAAAAACACTTTCATTAATTGCTTCCCTTATTACAAGTAAAGAAGAGGCATCACAAGTATGGACTTTTCTTGAAGAAAATCATCTTCTTCGTCCAGCTGCAGATGGTACGGTTACAAGAACATCCTCAACCGCTAAGAAAACCAATACGTTAGGGAGACAAAGTAATCAATTGCATGATAATAAAGAAGGTAATGATGATCTTACTGTGGTGACGGTAGAAGCCCGTTCATTACTTGGACATTGTCAATATGAATGTCATCAAGCTACCTATAGTATTACGATAGGCTTTTTAGATTTAATGATTGCCATGTTTAAATATCATGTACCTTCAGTTTCACAAATTCCAACCTATACGTTAGTTATTCGATTTATTGCGGAGGAAATATTTCGTGGTGTATTGAGACGTTTCTTTTCTTCTATTAATGAACGATATACAGTGGCAGCATTAGCGGCAGCCGCTTTAAATCGTGCTCTTTCTTTACGTTTACCCTTTACCACTACTAATAATAGTATGATTCCATTTACAGTGGTAATGGCATGTTCAAAAGCTCCAGCAGATGTATTAGGAGAAGCATTAGAAATTATTTATGAATCTTCTTCAGCACCAAATGAACTTCTCAGTTATCAACGAGCGGCGGTACGTCAATGTTTAGCTCTCTTAGAAACGGCTATTACGGTTAAGAATAAACAAGGATTAGATAGTTTATTTACCTTTGATGCGAGAACGGCTAGTAATACAGAACTAGCTTCTCAATTACTTCCTTTAAGTGCTTCTCCAGATTGTTTATTAGCCAGAAAAGCTTTACAATTATTATTATTACTTCCTCATTCCACACTCAGTGAAGCTGCACGACATTGGTTTAGTAGACCAGATGCATTAGAGATGGTCATTACACCATTTGTAGCTTCTCTCTCCGTAGATGCTGTAAGTAATCCTATTATTCACGTTCCACCAGCTCTTGCGGTATTAGATCATGATGAAGTTCAATTTATGTTACCACATGCTGAAGTAGAAACGAAATCTCTTATTTTAGATCTTCTTATTCAACATGCAAGAGATCCACAAACTTCTATTACTTCTTGGCTTTGTGGTTATCCATTATATGGATCTACATCTGCAGAATTATTAATGGGTTATTGTTTAGAACCTGTTATTATGGGTGCGAATAGCCGAGAAGTAGAGGAAACTCATCCACATATTGCTGTAAAGTATGTGAAACTTTTATATCTTCTCTGTGCGAATCCTTCTCTCAGTACACCGAGTCTTCATCGATTAATGAAGAGATGTGGAAATGATGAAATGTTTTATGTATTACAATCACTTCGACCCAATCATTGTTCTCCACTTATAATGAGTAAATATGCATTTGTGATGAAACTCTTAGCGCTTGATATTTTTAATATTGGAACCAAAACACCAGAAGAATTAAATGCCTCATCTCTCTTGACATCTAATTCTGGTTTGGTGGAACTTTTATTTTTACTCTTACGAGCCTCATCACATACTTCTCTCGGTAATAATAATAATAATAATAATGAATTAACCGTTAATGAAGGTTATGATGATTCCAGTATGGCTGAAGACTTTGCCCAATGGCCATTACTTTGTTTAAAGTCTCTTCCCGCATTTCCAACGAATTGTATGGCTCCTGGTGGGGCAGAACGATATATTTTCCGTGCTTCTGATGATATTCCACAGTATTCAATTCCTTTAATATTTGAAGCTTTACAAAAAGAGAGTTTAATAGATAAACAAAAAAGTTTATCTGCGCAAGAATTAAAAGAACGATTAGGTGTATTTGTAAAAGCAAATGAGTGTCTCGCAGTGTATGCAGGTGGAGTTCAATTTATAGATGGTTGGTGTAGTTTAGCGAATATTGCTGTTACGATGTTGGAGAGTATATCAAGTGAACGTTTGGTTTACTTGGCTCAATGCATATTAGAAGCTATGCAAATGACATCTTCTCTTACAATAGCCGCTCAGGAACAAATTGTCTTTAGACTTAGTGAAACCCTTGCTACTGTGATGACACAATTGAAAAGAAGAAATATTTTTAATAATGGTAATAATAATAATAATAATAATAATAATAATAATAATAATAATAATAATAATAATCGTCATGAAGTCAGTAATATGAAATTAAATGGTGGAAATGATACAGAGATGATGATGATGAATACATCGCGTGGACTTTCAAAAACGACAACACTTGTACCAGTGAATAAAACAAATCTTTCTATATCTAGTGGAAGAACAAGTCGTGGAATGAAGAGAAATTTAGGAGGAACACTTATAGTAAGTGGAGAAGAAGTATCTGGAATGATTGGTAGATCATTAGCCAATACAGAAAGTTTACAATTATTAAAATCATTATTAATTACAACAGTTCAATGGGGACCTCGTGTACCTTTAGCACGACAACATTTCTATAATGCTATTATGTTATTTCTTGATATTCCTGGTATTTCTGTGGATGATATTGCACTTCAACGATATTATAATGCTCTCTTTACAGTTATTGTTCAAGATATATCCGCAACGGCGTCTGTTAGTTGGAATGGAAATAAACCCGTTGCCTTATCTCTTCTTAGTCAATTATTACATTTATCTCCACAGTTGTGTGAAATGTTGTGTGTTCCCTCCTCTGGTGATGGGGCAAGTCCACAGTTAATGACATGTATGATGAGTGCTTTTCAAACTATAGATGAATCCATTTCCGCCTTTTTTGCCCATGGAGGTAGTGAAGTGAGTTCTATTTTATGGATTGTACAAATTGTATTTGATTTACTTATGCTTATATCTCAACAACATGCCATTCAATTATTACATATTAATGCCTTATCCCATTGTATGACTATGAAAGTCTGGAAAACAAGTGCACGGGTTATGTTAGGACATATTAATAATACATCTGATACTTTTATAAATGGATCAGAAGATATTGAAGTTTATAAAGAAGTGATAAAAAGTGTTCTTCTTTCTACTATAAGATGGTTTAATGTTTTATTATCTACATTAAATAATTCAGAAACTGTGATAATGTCTATTGCGGAATTTCTTCGTGCAAATCAATATTTATTTCAAACCGTTTTAAGTTCACCATTTGTTGGTTCTCATCAACGACATGTGAATTCATTAACACTTGATCTTATGAGTGAAATTGGTGGATTATTATACCGTTTAGCCTGTTCATCCCTTGCAGATGAATGCCGAACATTAGTGCAAGTATTTGCATTACCGGATTTACTTGTACTTTTAACAAAGATTGAATTTATGGATAGTTGTATCTTTATTCCCGATATCACAGAAACTACTATTACTACTACGAATACTGGAGCCACTACTACTACTACTACTACTACTACTACTACTACTACTACTACTACAGCGACAACAACAACAACAGCAGCAGCAGCAGCAGCAGCAGCAGGAACAACAACAACAACGCCAATTGTTGTTAATCAAACAGGAGGTTCTCTCCCTTCAAATCGTCAACGTCAATTGTTATCGACGGCTACTCAAAATATATTAATGTTTATTCTTCGTGCTGAAAATCTAGTTTCTCTCTTCTCTGCATGGGGTGAAAATCCAGCAGCAGCTGCAGCAGCAGCAACCACTACTAATACAAATACAGGAAATGAGGAACCACCGCATTTATTGGATGATCCACGAAATAAAGTTCTCATTTTAACCGTTACTGGACAAGTAGTGTCTATTATGGAGAATTTATATAATTCACAGATATTACAGAGTTCTCATTTTTCACCGTATTTAATTGGACTTCATTGTCTTGTTCTCTTACTACATGCATTTCTCCTCACAGATCGAACCTCACAGATGAAAAATACATCTAGTCAATGGAGTTCTATTGTACATACTTTAGAAGAAGCTCAACGGGTTGTAAATTTATGGAAAGCCTTTCATTCAGATTATGCAAAAGGTATACGTGTTAACCGAACAGGAACTCGTTGGAGTGTTATGGCACCATCTGTTAGTAATCAATCTATTTATCCAGCGATAAAATCCTCCTCACTGGATGCTGGACGAAGTACAATGATTTATAATAAAACACTTCCTTCTACAGATGGCACACTCCGACCATTAGAAATCTCTACACAAGGGGGAATGGGAATAGGAATAGGAAGTGAAATAGATCAGAGTTACACCAATGTACTTTCCACTGTTAGTCTTGCCGCTGCGGGAAGTGTGATGGAGCCCCCAACTGCCATGATGGATGCCACTGCAATGAATCTTTACACCACACGATTTCCAGATCCTTCTCTTGCAAGTAATGATATCTCCATTGGGGCATTAGTGGAGGTTGGCCGTCGACATGATGGGATGGAGGGTGAAGAGAATTTGCCTGTTCATCCTCTCTGGGATGAGGTGTTGTTGATGGAATCTCTACTACGACAGGTGAAGGTGGCGATCTCAAACGCTCTAAGATCAGCCGCGCGTACATAAAGATGTAAGGAAAGAAAGAAAGAAGGAAAAAGAAAAAAAAGAAAAGAAAAGAAACTCAATTTGAAATGAATAAATAGAAATGGGAATAAGTAAGGAAAAACAGAAAAAAAAAAAAAAAAGAGAAGGAGAAAGAAAGCGATAATAGAGGCGATCCTCTGTATATAGGAGGCGGTATTACTTAAACGTATGCGATTTTTTTTTTTTAATATATTTAAAATAACTATTCGTCGAATAATTAACATAGAAAAAAAAAAAAAAAAACTTCCTTTTCTTTATTCCTTCGTTGTTTCTCTGATTCTCAGAGTTAACAACTGCAATAGGAGTAAATATACCCATTTCTTTATTATATATATATATATGATTAGTCTCTTTTTTCTTTTATTTTCTTTTGTACTTTTACGCTTTCTTTCTCTTTCTTGAGGTGAAAAAGTTATCATTACTCTCATCTTCTTTGTAGTTATTCACACACACACACAAACACAAACACCTCTCTCTCTCTCTCTCATAAAGTTGTAGAGTGGTGAGTGAGTGGGTGAAAAAGGGGGGAGAGGAGTTTTAAAGTAGAAAAAAAAAAAACAAAAAAAAAACAAATCTTTCTGTTGATTTCTTAAAAGAAAAGAAAAGAAAGAAAGATGAATTCGGCTACACAAGACGCAATAGAAACGCTTCGGCAGCTGCAAAAACTTTCTAGGGAACTTCAACCCGTTAAAACAGCATTAGCCGCTATTGTTAAGCGTGAACAGGCAAATCCTAATCCATCAGCAGCGGCAACATCATTGGAAAAAGTTGCGCTACGAGTATCGGAAGTATCTCGAAAGTATAGTGCCTTTTTTGATCGAATGTCATTTTTATTGGAATGTGAATTACCACAACAGCAGCGAATGACTCCTCTTTTAGAGAATATTAGTAATACAGATGGTGAAGAAAAAGAAAAAGAAGAAAGTAATGGTATCACTACTACTACTACTACTACTACTACTACTACTACTACTAATGGATGTATGATAAAGAAAGAAGGTACGATAAATTACTTTCGATATGTTTGCTCTCCCAATATTCCACATATTTTAAAACCTGAAAATTTTCGTATGGTGCAGGAAAGAATTCATATAAAAATGGAAATTGTAAATTATCTCATTGCCACAGAAAGATTTCAACTAGCGCGTCATATTATAGAATCTTATGGACTTCCACTTTTTTGGTTTCCTAGACTAGTGACACTAGCTCTTCCTGTTCTACCGCCTATTCAAGGTAGTAATCATTCTGGTGAAGAGAAGGGAAGAAATTCAGAGTCACCGGCATCTAATTTGGTCTCACCTTATCTTGCTTTTTCTAAACCAGAAGAATCATGTGTATCCTCTAATATTGTGGCCCCAGAACATATTGCTATTCAATGTATTGAAGCTAAACATTCTGTAGTAGAAGCCATTGCGTATTGTGAAGAACGACTTTTACCAGCATTAGAAGGTATGGATGGGATAAGACGACCAAAAATTAATGAACTTTTATATGATCTTTTAGCAGATCTTCATGCTACTAGATTACTACAAATTTTTCGAGATGGTCGAACAGAACAACAAGAGATTGTTCATTATATTGCCGCTCATATTTTACCTCACGCAACACGAAGACCTCATTTTGCACAAACTGTTATTAATGCTGTTACACTTCAAAATGAACCTTATAGTAGAGAAAAATCATCTGAAGAACGATCTAACGATAATAATGGAGATCAACGTTCTTTAGCACCTAAAAGTAAAAATGCAACTTTACAAAAAAAAGAAGAGGCAATGCGATTAGTAGCTTCTATGATGTCAGTTGAGGGTTATCATAAACTTGCAGTCTCCTTCCACAGAGTAGCCATATTGGTAGGTTCTCAGATTCTTTCTGTCAGTGAAGCGCTTGACCGACGACAACAATTTGTTTCAGAAGGTGAGGGTGGAGTTACTTCTTCCTCTTGTGATGGTGATTGGCCACACACGCTGCCTGATCTCGTTACCCGCATTGTAGCCACTTCTATTTTCCTTAAAGATGATTACTTTGATCGAATGGTACTGGAGCGATCTACCATTACTGGTCAACATCCAACTCCTATTCCCCCCAGTCATCTCAACACACAATCCGGTTCACCCACATTTGATGAGGCCGTTATGACTGTTATTGAAGAGGCTCTTAGTGGTCTCTCCGATACTCGTGCACGTGGAGAAGTGAATCGCCCTGGAGCCCCTCTCACCACAGAGGATCTTCTTATTGCTGGAGAGCGATGGAGTAATGATGTGTTGTTTATTAAAAGACCCACTCGCTTCTATTGTTATCTCACGAAAGAGTGTATGGATGGAGGTAGAAGTGATAATTATCCCGTTGTATTACCCAATGGTACTGTGTTATCAAAGTTTGCCGTAACACAGTGTCTTGTGCAGAAGGGAGAGGGAGAGAATCAATCATTAATGGTGGTATGCCCACGAACAAAGGAAGAGTATGCGGTCTCACAGGTGAAGAGAATATTTGTGACGTAAAATAAGTGAGAGAAGAATAATAAATAAGCAAAAAAAAAAAGTAGTGAGTGAGTGAGTGAGTGAGTGAGAGAGAAGGACAGAAGGAAAAAAGAAAATAAAAAGATTAAAAAAAAAAAAAAGAAGAGTCAGTGTGTGTGTGTGTGTTTGTAATGAACCAATGATAAGAGGAGTGTATTTTTGCTTACTGTCCGTGTTTTTACACAACTACTACCACACCTCTGGGGGTAGTTAAAATAAATTTGGTTTCCTTTTTTTTTTTTGTTGACGTTATTGTTCTTCTGCTCGTGGTGGGGGGATGGCTTGATTATTTGTCTGTTTTTTTTTT